GCTGCCGTGCCCCAATTGGCGATTACTCAGATGGTAGTGTTATCTTTATTTTACGCAATATCAGGTTGTGTAATGTGCTAGGTGACACGAACATTTTTGCCAGCAGGTTGACATTACTCCTGTTCAGACTTTCACAGCCCTTTCCCAGGAAAAATTTTTCCCAGATGAGGAAGACTCTCCGGAAGCTGGTCTACTGACCAGAACTGCTTAAGGTGCCGATGCCGTAGGTAGAATATTGGTATTTTTTCAGTTAGAGGTGAGGTAAAACCACGTTGATGCATTTGCTTCAACTCCAAACTTGCGCACTGTGGGTGATATTGATGGATTAAAGCTGGTGTGGCATTAATACATTCCCTTAATTATAAAGCATCCCACAAACCGGCGCGAAATAATCGCGGCGAAGTATTCGCAACGAAATTCAGAGCGAAATTCGCAATCTGTTTCGCCTGTTTATTCATACCAAAGCGTCTTATTCGCTCCGCGAACGTGAAGGTTTCGACAGGTTGCGTACATTTTATTTTTGCCTTTTGCAATGAGCTCGTCTTCAGAAGAAGAGGAGGCACTTCTATTTCTTGCTTTAGAAGAGGAACAAAATGCACGGTAAGTTATGTTTATTTAACGCCATTTGATAGTTGGATATGTATTAAGTTTAACGAAGTACATAAAACAAATATTTTCAATTTTCTTTAGGAAACGAAGGAAGTGGGTACATGATATTAACTTGGAACGAAATAAATTTGGGGAATACCATACCTTGATGCCACAACTTCGGCTGGATGAACAGCGCTTTTACGTATATTTTAGAATGACTCCAGAGTATTTCGATGAAATATTGAACTTGGTGAAAGATGAAATACGAAAATCTGACACAAATTATCGTGAAGCTATTTCGCCAGAAGAACGACTTGCTATTACACTCAGGTAAAAAAATTATATGTATTAAAATTAGTAGGCTTATCGAATACGGAAACTTCAGGGATCGTGAAATAAATATTTTATTGTAATAATTGGACTACATGTTGCCACTAGGATTAAATGTTGCTAAATAATTCGAGGCAGAATTTGCCTCCTCTGTTGGGTATATTATTGGAGTAAACCCAGTGCCGCTTGGGAAGGACGACATACTACTATCATACATACTTGCAGAATTCTGGGTAGACGCTGAAGACATTTCTTCAATATGTTCAAATTCTTCGTGCGCTATTAATTCGGCTATGTTTAGTTTTATTCGGGCTTGACGCTTTAAGGGAAGTGTTTTCACAGTCTGTGCATGTGCCAAGAAAAGTGAATCAATGGCCTCGTTCTCTTTTTTAGGTTTTTTACCTTCAAAATAATTAATCAGCTGTTGTACAGACGAAGATGGTGGTTCATAGCGTTTTCTGCTCGTTTTATATTTTGGTGTAGTTGCAGTCTGCGGAAAGGTGTGCCCTGGAGTAGTCACTGCTGTAGTGTTCAATGAAGAAGGTGGTGCTGTCTGTGTTGCCGACTCGTTCTGTGCATCTTCTGCATCTGCATCAGCATTTTCATCTTCTCCATGGCCGCGGTCTTCCAAATTTTCGGTTTCTACATTTCCAGCCCTTTCCTGATATATATTTGAGTTAAATTCGGCAGTCTCATAATGTATGACGTCAATATCTTTCACATTGGCAAATGCCAAAAAAGGACGGAAAAATTCCATGTAGTCAGCCCACTGCCATTTTTTTATGTTGCCCACTGCTTGGCCGGTCTTTGGTTTGGTAGATTTTATATATTTTGCAAATGTGTCTCTGATATTCTTCCACCCTTTTTTTTACTTCATCACCTAAAAACGATTTTTTTATAGATTCCTTGCCACTGGTGACACCTTCTATACCATTGGGCATAGCTTTCGAGTTGGCTTTACAACAGTGAGTGCAATCGTAACCGAAGTCTGTGAAGCGATCTGCGGACATATGGAGCATATATATTTACCAGAACCAACAGAGAATATATGGAAAAAATGTGCTGAAGAATTTGAAAATAGATGGGGATTTCCCAATTGCATTGGCAGCGTGGACGGTAAACATGTAACAATCAAGAGACCTAACAACATTGGCTCCAATAACTGGAGCTATTTACATAAATATTCAATAGTACTTATGGCCATTGTTGGCCCGGACTATAACTTTATATGTGTTGATATTGGTGGTTTCGGAAAAAATAGTGATGGGGGTATTTTCGAAACCTCAAACATGGGAAAACGATTTGAACAAAATTTAATGAGTGTCCCTGCACCTAGATTTCTCCCTGGGCAAAATAAAATCTGCTCGTACGTCTTAATTGGTGATGAAGCATTTGCTTTAAAACCATACCTTATGAGACCATTTCCTTATAAGCAGACTTTAACAGACGTCAGAAAAGACAAATACAATGTAAGACTTTGTCGAGCTAGAAGGGTCGTGGAAAATGCGTTTGGTATTTTGTCTCAAAAATGGCGAATATTTTACAGGCCATTAGAAACTAAAGTAGATACTACTATTCTAATTGCACGTACGTCATGTGTTTTACACAATTTTTTACGAAGTAAAAGTGGCGATGACAAATATTTTCAATTCTTAGATCCCCCAGAACCCGTGCTTGGAGCTTTTACTGATATAGCAAATGATCCTCGGCGGGCAGCAAGGCTAGCATTTTCTACTCGTGACAAATTCGTAAATTATTTTAATTCTGATATGCCTATGCCCAATATATAGAATGTTCGTTTTCACATTTGTGTAGACTGTAATTATTTAACAAGTTAATAAAAAATATTAGGTACATACCATTCGTATTTAATTCTTTTCCTATTTCCATCCAAATCTTGTCTTTCTTTCTCACATTCCTGTATTCATCGTTCGACAAATCATACAAACAAGGATACTTTTTCACTATTTCTATCAATAATTCCGTTTTTGCCATTGCGAATTTTTGAAGAACGGCGTCAAAAACGCAGTCAAAGGCGAACTGAAATACGCCGCTGGAACAATCGCATTCGCTTCGCACAAGTCTGAGCCTGTCCGTAAACCGCCGCATTTTAATCTGATCGCGAATTCATCGCCGCGAAATTATCGCCGACAAAGCGAATATTTCGCGCCGGTTTGTGGGATGCTTTATTCTGTATTTTTTCAAAGCACCTCCACCATATTTTCGATTGTGCCTTCACCCGCATTCTTAAATAGTTTATCCGCCATTTTTAAAAATGATAGCCCTATTTTTTAAATGAACAATGGTCCCGGTATCCGTTACTGGATTTTTTTGAAATAATATTCATTTGCAGCAGCCGTTGTTAGTTACATTAAAGTCTATAAAAGTTAGATAACTACAATATTATGTTGAACTATGACTTTATAATTTAATATACCCCATAGAGGCCTATACAACCAGCAATACAAATATCTGTTTTACTGATCGCCTGCCTAAACTCTCTTCTATTTGACATGTTCAAGCAGTGATTTCCAAATGGTTTGCAACCGAGTAATTGATCTGACCAAGCGAATAGTCAAAAAAGTGTTTCTCGTCTAGCTCTATGTGTCAAACTGAATTGGTTCACTAAAGTTAACTGTCCACTTCCGTCAGACATTCGTTGCCAGAACAGGGCTATTATTTCGTTCATGACTGTCGGATTTTCGAACTGATATTTCTTTGAAAAGTTTGGCGCGTTACTAGTTTTACGTGTAGTACTCATTAATGTAGTAAATTATATACCTAGGTTGAGACGTGGGCCATTACACCCCTAGGTTTCACCCCTGGGCCCAACACTACCCCTAAGAGGGTTAAAAATTGTGTTTAGAATGCCAGGTGCTGCAGCATGGTAGTTCCATCTATCTTGCGACGCTAAATAGATAGATAGATAGATAGATACATTTATTGTCTTGTAGATCATAAAAAATGACATAAGACTCGTCCTAAGAGGGAGGTACATAGTACATATAATTAAAAATAAAAACGAAACAAATATAAGTATTTACAAAGTACAAACAGGGACAACTTAAGGCGTACAGACATTCACATATAGAAAAAGTTTAAAAAAATATATCACAGTGCGAGGTATTCAGACAAAGAGTAGAAACATTTTTCAACTAATAATTTTCGTAGGAAAACTAGGAATACTACTGACATTCCTGAGGTTAGCTGAAAGTTTGTTATATATTCAGATGCAGGTGTTTTACGGTGACTTTTCGAACAGCGTCAGTGTGTGTTTTGGAATACTCAGACTCTCACCTGCCCTTGTATTATAATATGTGTTGATGTTTTTGTTCTGTATAAATTTTGTTTTGTTTGTATGTGTGAAAAGGGCGCACTTATAAATATGAATGCTTGGTAGAGTCATGATGTTTTTACTTCTGAAGATATCTCTGCAGGATTCTCTTCTACGAATGTTGAATATCAATCTGATTATTCTCTTCTGTTGAACAAATGCTCTAGAAATTGAAGTTGCTTGTCCCCAAATTATGATGTTCTTTGATAAATGTGAGTGGACGAGAGCATAATATACATCTAGTAAAGCTGACTCTGATAAGCAAAACTTGAGCTTAAGAATCGCATAATATGATTGGTTCAACTTTTTACACACACTGTCCATGTGTTGTTGCCAACTGAGCTTTGCATCCATTTCTATTCCCAAGAATGTCGTAGTTTTCGATGTCTCATGATTTGCTAGAATAGGGGCGTTTGTATAAAAATGTACATCTGACTTTTCGAAGTTACGAATTTATCGTCAAAAAGTTCCCTACACCCCTGGAGCTTACCCCGGGATCTAATACTAACCTTATCATGGTCTGTGTCTTAGGGATCTCGAACTGTATTCTTTGCGGTGTTATGTTAATAGCTCAATCGTGACCAGTAATATACATTCGATTTCATAAGATACTGTAATTTTCTTCTCTTTGGCACATTCGTCGGTTTTATTGTTGCTTGAGATGGTCTTTGAGGTCGAAAAATGTGGCCTAGTGCCAGGTACAATCATTACGAATTAACTTTGGGAATGTAAATTGAAACACACTTCTCTCAATGTTGTTTATTCAAGATTTGATATACATTACTACATTTTATTTGACACGATAAATACAGATTTAGTTAATGTATAAATGATTATACAAAACCTAGTAAAAATATGAGCCTACTTGATCGGGTACTAAAAACATATTCTAAGCGATTGTTGTCCTCTTAAATATCATAGATATCTTATTCAAACACATTTATCAGTATATCACAGATCTTATTCAAATATAAAGAATTGTTGATAGTATATGCAGATTATTTTTATAGAATATTGTAATTGATACATTCATTGTTGATGAAAGAGAAGAGAATCTCTCCAAAATTTTAGATTTTTATAGGTAACCTATGTTGGTACATGGAGAGTTATCGGAATGGTCTGTAGAATCATAATCATCAGTATTGAGATATGAACATATTTTTGATATAAAGTGAGGTGGATACAATAATGAATTATTTTATTATGCATTAATTCGGTAAAACTACGCTTGATCCGTAAAAGTAACAGAAAAATTATAATTAAGATACTTATATTGGTATAACCTATTTTTTATTTCATGTTCGCAGTCTTTGAAAACGCGCCATATTAGATGATAAATACAATAATACAACGACTACTACATTACTAATTTTATTTTCTAATACACTTAACAATGCTGTAAAGGTTTGATGACGATACCAGTCGCCATAGCTAAAACTTACAATAAACCACATGCATATGTATATATTATTAGTGCATGTAATCGTAAGTAAATGTATTTTCTCATGTGGGCCAAATTGTAGCGGCAACCACATGCGACTCCAGAGTGAGCATGTCTGCATTTACAGAAAGTAGCTTTTTCTGAGTAAATCTCATCCTTCCTCTTGCTTTGTGCTGTTACCCTATAGATTATTATTATGATAGATTATAATTTTTGGGGAAAAATGCGTACTGGATTAATTCTCAATTTTCAGTGAATTACAATACTGCCACAAAAATGAATTGTTGTCATAAATTTCGAATAAAATCATGCGCAATAGATAAAAGACAAGATATTTTCTGTCAACATCAAACAACAATTTGTCAAGTATCTATTTGAACCACACTTTTTGTTGTCTTTCCCTATTTCTGCTGCTACGAATTCCATACCCCAAACCCAAGCCTGCTTTCGCGTACAATCAAAATGAGCACAAATTTTTAATAAACATTTTTAAATAACTGTTTACTGACTCAGCGTTTCGGGTGACCTTAACAAATACCAATAATGACAGAACTATCGTTTTATACTTGAAAGAGGTCACAAGCAGTAATTGAAACATATGTGGTTTCATTTAGCGACATGACAAACATGGCTGATTATCAGTACGAAAACCACGGCTTCTAAAAGGTGTACATGCAAAATTATGTACTGAATTTTGTCTGATATATTCCCTAATTTGGTAGGCAAATTAACTTACTAAATTCAGTACAAAGTTTCCCATTGTGACAGACGACCTTAAAAAATTGTAGAGAGTAACACGTATTTGTATTTGCACAAACTGTCCCTTATTTTTAAATTCCTAAAAGCATGGATAAAATATGTCATTCCAATACATGTTATATTTATATACAAACGAAAAAACAGCAAATCGAGATAATATTGCAATTCGTATCAGAAATTTAGCTTTGAAATGGCACTCAAAAGTAGTTATTTCTGTATTTAGAACGTAAAATGGGTGTTTATACCCTGCCGAGCTCATGTTGCTAACCGGGTACAGGAACGCTTATTGCGTCAGAGATACATAGAAAATTTCTTGTACGACCAGATACAGGATAAGTAAAATGTTAAAAGTAGCTTTCAAGTGGAAATTGTATAAATTCACCGTACTATTTCTTAATATCAGAAAAGTCTAACGTCAAATTGTTCACTAGGTCAAGTGCTACTGCGAGAGGATATGGAGTGTACGACAGCAAGCTTCAGGTTGACACTTAGTAGGAAGAACATGACATTACGTAAGAAATAAGACAGCATTTTCAATATTGTGGCTACATACTTCTGCTATATCCAAATAGGTAAAACCCGAGGTCACCAATTTCATACACTTTCAGCTACAAACTAATTTAGTTTTGAATTATCTTGATTGGTGTTTCCAACTTCAAATGTACGACAACCCTATTTTAATGCATATCCTTTCGTGAAAATAAGCAGTTTGATTTTTGTTTTTCATTTACAGCTGACCAGATTCAGTGCGTAGCTAGTCAACATCATATACCACTAATTCGTTTCGATGGTGGTATTTGCTGGTCTTTATTAGAAATAAACTTATATTATTTTGATCTATACGTCCAGAATTTCATGCAATTTCAATACACCCAGTAGATACAAGTGTGATCCCTTGACATAAACTCGGTCCCTCGATCCTGAACATTTATTATTTAGGTATTTACATTAAGATTAGCTTATTAATAGATATAAGTAGTACTCTCAGTCTGTATCTGCCTTATTCAACCTCGTGCAGTTGGTGCATCCTAGGATTGACCATGGTACGTGGCAGCAGTTCCTTCAGCGAATAGAACCTCGTCGTGTCGTCTCTGTCTACTGAAGTGATGTGCTGGAAACAGCACGGCTGAGAAATGTGGCTTTTTGGGGGTAGTGGGGGTGGCTTCGGTTGTTTCTTCTCTTTCTTTTTCTTCTTTTTGCCTGCAAGGAATGCTGCGTAAAGTATTGGTTCTTATAGGAAATACAAGGAGAGTATCCCGAAATGGAGGGGCGACCTCGCGCGTTTGCAGAGACTGCCTAAATATGGGCATAGAAGCTGCTAAAGCTCTGCGATGTCCCATTCAAAGTAAGATAGTCGAGTTTTTAGAGTCGGTCTTATCGAACAACTGGCATACCTGTAAGCAATAGGACACGGTGTCCTGTTGTATTCTACATATCACCACGATTTCATTCGATCTACAAGTCGCTATGTTTACCCTCGTTAAATTTCTATCGGCTCAGACGTATCAAATTCTACTCACAATGTTCATTGAAGGTTAGGCCTTTTACTTACAAAATATGCTTGTTGATATTTTCGGTATTTGGTACACAATGCTCCAATTCTTTGTTTAAATTAAACAATTCCACAAATGACATATCTTCAATGGAAAAAGGATCACTCTCATCTTGCATCACCCTTCTTTCTCGGTTTTCCTTTCCGGTTGCCTCTAATATACTTCGTCCGCCGCTTCCAGAATTTTGAAGAGTAGGTTTCTCTATTCAAAATTTTCGTTTTCGCCATCAGTTGTTACAAACGTATGAAATTTGGTAATACTGGGAGGCATCATTCGTTTGTGTTCTATACGTACGAGAGATTAACATATTGCTTCTGATATATCCGGTGTAGAGACGCAAAGGGGCCCTGCCATTTACTGATGAAGATGAAGATAGTCTATACAGGATATCCTCAAAGTTGGAACTCTCGTTATATATGTCAGGCAATGATAGGCAGATTTTCCTAGTGACACATACACCAAAGCCTCAAGATAACCGAGATACTAAGTTCTGAAGAACTCTAAATAAACCATCCCTCTCCTCCTATGGCAAAGGGTACGATGTTTTGTGGTACGACGACTATATGTGTCAGTATCCTAATTAGGCTCCCGCGCGGTGTGCAGGTTAACCTATTTTGTAAGACAACTGCGTTTGGAAGCGCATAGGTTTGTTTACATCGTTTTTGAATCGAACACCGATAACTTCAAGCAGTAATTAGAAATAAAACGTGTGACAGGGCAGTACCTGAAATGCCGTACCAAATAAATAGTGAGTATTTTTGTTCAATTTCTTTTTTATTTTATTCTTGTTATTTCAAAGGAATGTTCCGTAAGTCCCATACTTTGGATTTTTCAGGAGACAGTAACAGCAACAGTGTCGCTGACAAATAAACCAGTTAAGAACTTTTTAATTCTGAACTCAAGTACCCGCTGTTGATTAATGCATGCAGAAACCACGAGTCCACGATTTACGATGTTTTTGCACTTAACATGTATTAGGTGGCGTTATTCGAAGGGAAACAATGTAGTGACTCACAAGGTGTACACCCAGAATATGCATGTACCGTTTTCAGTAAAAAAATAATTGTTGGTAAAAAAATGAACTTAGTGGTTTTTAAAATGACCGATTCGAATGCTTTTTAATGCCGTTGTTGCAACGTCGATCATAATAAAGCCTACCTGGTGTGGATAATGAAATGTTCTCAGGACACGACACAAGTCGTTCAATATGCTGCCACATCTCCTGGGCATCGTGGGAGTTATCGAAGCTGAAACCAACTTGCAGCGTGTGATCAGCGGAGTAGCACATCGTGTGGAATGCTGGGCCATCTGATTTGTACGATGAGAGGTTGTCTATTGTGTCGCTCCATAGCATGAAACATGTTCCTGAAAAAATTGGCAATCTGAAATACTCTATAAATATTGCCAAAATTATCTTCTAAACTATTAATTCTTCAGTTTACTCTGCGAGCTGCTCATGCGCTACTATATCCAAACAGGGGGAGGCTGATTTCTTGAAATAAAATGCTAGAGTTCTTGAGGCTTTCTGTCGATTATCAACCCCAAAATACTTTATCCCCAATTGCCAAAGTACGCTTTCATCAAATACAAAATTATCAGAGATGAAACGAAATACCGTAGAGTCATCTATGAGAGATAGTTTTTGCTCTCCGCTCTAATTAGAAATCCCATTTGAAAGGTTAGTGTTTCGTTAGCCAACTATATGGCATACATCATATGCAGCGCCATCTAGGAGACCCTACTCTCTTCAAATTAGTGCGGAGAGCAGAAACATAGATGACGCTACGGTATCTCATTTCTTGTTTGATAGGTTTTACGCGGGAATATACAATTGGTTTACCTATTTTCACATAGAATACGTTAATCAACCAAAATCACAACGGAAAAGCAAAAGCAAAATGCCGCTGGACGCGTCTGTACACCAAGTTTTCAAAACGAGGCACCTTGATCGGATATCAAATATCGAAAAAAGGTTAAATGAGTGGCCCTGAAGAAGGCATGTTCGACAGAAAATCAAAAGGAACGGAGACAAGCCGGTAAAGAAGGTATCTTGATAGTAAAGCAAATTTTAACAGAAGTTATCTTGATAGGAAGGTAAACATCCATAAACGTGTAAAAATCATAAGGTCGCGCGCTGGTTGTCAACACTGTCTACTAGGGACCCACAAAATCTTATGAGGAAATTTCTCAGATAATCGTTAATAATACTATATCGTGAGTATCCAAAAGATTTCAACACAATAGTCGCCGAGAAAGAAAGATATAATGGGTGTGAAATTATACGATCAATAAACTATGAAATTTGCCAAAAGAAAATTATTAAAAATGGTTTGGCCAAGGAATCGGCACTCTACCATTGATAGGGAGACATTCAAATTACTTGTAAGCGATTGGGAAATTGGCAAACTTTTGTTAGGCTTTAGTTAACTCTTTTGACGATAGTGTCAAGCTTTCGGCAATTCTCTATGGAGCCTTCATCAGGATTCGTCGTTGAGGTTGCAGCCAAATGGTGTTTCAAAATGAACGCGGACATGAGAGGTCCACCTTCTCCACGTTAAGCGGATGTAGGAGGTTAGAAACTACATTCCGATTTTGTCCCCAAAATTGCTTCTCGTTAATTTTATATAAAATTTTTTTTAATATGTTAGGGTGTATTGATTCATAGTGGCAACACATAATGATGTTATCAGTTATTGTCAAAAAGCTCAATGTGTCTGTCCGATTGGTTTTACATTTGTAACAAGTGCTCTCATCTCCGCGTTCATTTTGAAACACCATTTGGCTGCAACCTCAACGACGAATCCTGATGAAAGCTCCATAGAGAATTGCCGAAAGTTTGATACTATCGTCAAAAGAGTTAACTACAGCCTAAAAAAGGTTTGCCACTTTCCCAATTAACAATTATTATTATTTTTTGCCCAACTGGTCGTTGGCAATGGCAATGACTACTGCTCACATATACAGGGTGTTTCAGTTTATTGTTGCATAACTTTAAGATTCGATAGAACTTTTAAAATTAATGCATAAAGTCTATATAAACATGGGTCGAAAAATGCGTGGTTTCCGAAATACGTTTAAATTTACTTTCTAAAATAGTTTTTTTTTTAAATATTTCGAACAATATTTGATGTATAACAGTGAAAATTGGTATACAAAGGTTTTTTGGTACGACAAAACGAACCATGGGCATAGTTTTACTGTAGCCGCTAGAGGGCGCTCTCTACTGTACCTGTAGTGTATTAAAATGACCGAAAAATTTTTTCTTAGTGTAGATTTTTGCTTTTTGAATAAAAAAATGATTCTTCGCACTTTTCAACATAAAAAAGTTCTCCTGTGAGTTTTCGTTATAGTTAGCCGTTTTTGAGAAATTTGGATTTTTAAGGTTCGATGCATTTTCAATTATTTATGATAAAATAACGTTAAAAAGTCAGTATCTCGATAATTTTTAGAAGTATGCTGTGCCTGCAAATATTTTTGAAATTGAAAGCAGAATGAGGTTAAACGTCAATTAGTTGACAGTTAGTTTTGTTGTCTGTTGAAAACTGAAACGTTTTTTTGCAATTGCGAATGCACGAAATTTAGTTTCTTTTACCTGTTTTTTTTTTTGTAAGTTTCATAAAAATGTCATTTTCATTCTCCAATCAAGAGTTAGCGGATATTCATTTTGTGTATAGCTTTGTAAATGGAAACGCAGCAGAAGCAGCCAGAGAATACGGTCGAAGATTTCCAAACAGACGACATCCAACTCGCTCAGTATTTGTAAGAGTGCATCGCCGAATAATTGAAAATGGTTTTGGAAATCTCCAAAGGGATCAAAACATAAATGTTCGTCAGCGCAGATTTACCCGTATGATTCTGCGTGAGTTTGATAGAGATCCGACCACAAGTGTTAGGAGAGTTTCTGGTGCCTTGGGAATTTCAGCAAGCTATGTTCACCGTGTTCTTAGAAATGACCATAGACGTCCTTACCATTTGCAACCTGTGCAAGGACCACAGCCAGGGGACGGAGAACGAAGAATCGCATTTTGTCAGTGGATTCTTGATAGAACTGATAATAATAGGGAGTTTTTAAGTAACGTTTTATGGACCGATGAGTCATGCTTCACTAGACGTGGAGTGGTAAATTTTCATAATCAACATATTTGGTAGCATAAAAATCCGCATGCAGTTCGGGAAAGAAATTTTCAGCATGAATTTAGTGTGAACGTGTGGATTGGTATCTACCGTAATCGACTATTCGGACCCTACCTTTTGCCTGCAAGGTTAAATGCTGCGACCTTCTTGGAATTTTTAAAGGCTGAACATGCAAATATGTGGGATGATGTAATGTTAGATTTAAGAAGATTGGCCTGGTTCCAGCTTGATGGTTGTCCAGCGCATTATTCGAGAATAGTTAGAAACTGGCTGGACGAAGATTATCCAGAAAGATGGATCGGCCGTGGAGGACCAGTCGCCTGGCCTCCACGATCCCCTGACCTAAATCCATTAGATTTCTTTGTCTGGGGATTTCTAAAAGAAAAAGAGTACCAGACTCCCGTAAGCTCAAGAGATATGCTAATAGACATAATCAGGAATGCATGTGATGAAATAAGGCCTTATTTGAATAATGCTATACCACGTTCGATCATTCGTAGATGTGAATTATGTATTGAACAATTGGGTTTACATTTCGAGCAACTACTTTAGATTTTGTATGTTTGTCCTAACTATCCAATAGCATTTTAGTTGTAAATAATTAATTTAATTTGTTAAAAATAATATTGGAAAATTAAACAAATTAATATTCTGTTTTTTGTGTTTATTTGGAGCTAGAAATTATTGCTGTGTTTAAAAACACAATCTAAACGACCATCTTAATTACTTGTAATGCCCAAATCGAAAATGTAAAAAAATATTATTTTCCCATAAATAATTAAAAATGCATCGAACCTTAAAAATCGAAATATCTCAAAAACGGCTAACTATAACGAAAATTCGCAAGAGTATGTTGAAAAGTGCGAAGAATCAGTTTTGTATTCAAAAAGCAAAAAATTGCACTAAGAAAAGATTTTCGGTCATTTTAATACACTACAGGTACAGTAGAGAGCGCCCTCTAGCGGCTACAGTAAAACTATGCCCATGGTTCGTTTTGTCGTACCAAAAAACCCTTTCATACCAATTTTCACTGTTATACATCAAATATTGTTCGAAATATTTTAAAAAAACTATTTTAGAAAGTAAATTTAAACACCCTGTATTTCGGAAGCCACGCATTTTTCGACCCATGTTTATATAGACTTTATGCATTAATTTTAAAAGTTCTATCGAATCTTAAAGTTAGGCAACAATAAACTGAAACACCCTGTATATATATGAGCGGGGTTGTACAGCCTTTACCGCTTCCCGCATTTCGACCGCCATTTTTCTCTGTTTCTCCAGTCTTCCCCCTCTTAAGCCCATTTCTCATGGTTTGCCTGAAGCCGTCTTGCCATGAAATTTTCCTCCTACGTTGTGGTGTGTAAACTCAATGCTTCCTTTGGCCACCGTCCTTCGCCCATTCTCATCCCTTGGCCATACCACAATAGATGTTTCGTTTCTATCCTGTCCTACGCCGTATTTCTTCATGTTCCATTCTGGATACCCAACATGCTCTACTCAAAAAATCGATATCTGCTGCTTCAATCTTTCTTCTGTCGTGTTGTGAAATCTGCCAGCATTTCGACCCGTAAGTTAAAATAGGCTATACCAGTATCTGATATATTGTCATTTTTGTTTAATTAATTTAATTTTTAATTTCCTAAACATATCCATATCTTGCTCATCGCTGGCATTATTGATGTTCTACGTTAATTAATGGTTCTAAGTGGTTTTTGTTTTATTTTTTAATGGTTTCTAAATTACTTTCAATATACTTTGTAGTAGCTAGAGTAGCTAGAGGTGGAGCTAATATTTTTTACAATATTTCAGAACTCTAAAGCAGAAGGATAATACTGGTTATCAGTACTCAAACTACATATATGCTTAATGCAGGTGCACCTCCAGTTTCTTGTTCAAAGAATAAGTAGTAGGACTTGTGAAAGGTCCATTATCGAAGAAGACGAGCACGTCTCGTTAGAAGCCAAAGGTCGAGCAAAAATAGTACTTCTCCGTGAAAGTATGAAGAAGATCATCTTCAAGCCGCATCTTCGGGCAAATGCATGCTTTGCTTCAAGGCTCTCTCAGCTTCTGTAATTACGTTTATTATACTTTGGGAATAACCTCGTTTTCTTGCTCCTTTGTGGTCTTTTGTTATGCATCAGTGTATAGATGAATCGAAAAAAGAGCTTCAAGTAGGTTGACTATGACTAGAGTTAATTGCAACAAAATAAGATAAAAAAGAAACTCAA